GGTAGTGTCAGAGAGTTTCTGGGAAGGAACCATCTTGGTGTAGTCAAGCTCATTATGCCAGTAGTAGTTAGACTGAACGGTGGTCACGTCCTTGCCCACAAACTCAAAGTCAATCTCGTCACCAACGTTGTCGTTACGGACAATGACGGATGACACGGCGCCGGGACCTGTGCTTCCGGACTTCATGACGGTGCTAATAACGCCGTATTGGATTCTGCGGGTGTTTAGGACGGTTGCGCCCAGCGACTTGTCGTTTGTCTTCTTGAGACTGATAACGAGCTCGCCGTTTTCGATTTTGGCATTGTTGGGTTTCCACTGGGAAACAAAGGCGGTCTTGGAGGGGTCTCCCTTGTAATCGTCGATGTCGGCGAAAGCATTGCTATCAGAAAACTTGAGCTTCTGGTCAACACAGTGGGCAACATTCCAGCAGCTATCGGGCTTGAAAGAATTTTCGGGGTCGCAAAGACCGCCCATACAGTAGAGAGCGCCGGTATTACAGTACTGGCCATTGCAGCAAGGGCTGAATTTGTCGCAGACATTTTTGCCACACTTTCCACCAGCGTGGGCAGTGGTTGCCACGAGTGCGGCGGTTATGGAAAAGATTGAGAGGAGTTTCATGGTTTGGGTGAGGAGATATAAAGTTCACAGGTCGGGTATAGGCAGGATGGGATAGGGTAGGGAAGTTGGAGGGAAGAAGCCCAGTACAACTACGAGAGCGGGGGGTTGCGAAGCGTATTAAAGGAAAGTGTGGGGCGAGTGGCAGAAAGAAAGCACAGCTTTGACTATTCAGCAATATATGAAAATGATGAGCTAGAGGAAATAAACAAGCGAGCAATACCAAATGAAGGGGCGGTCAGGGCTATTTATCAATGACAAACAAAGACGAGCGTGAGCGCTTTGTTCTTTGTAGGAAAAGTGCCATTTGTGATAGGCCAACCGGATTATCAGCAACTAGAATTTTGGTTTGCCAGTGGTTTGTATGAATACAGAAAGCGAGTGGCAGTTGGCAATACCCCAAGCATCGAAAGCTGTGTACAAATGCTACATAAAGTGCGTGCTTTTTTGAAAGACGGCGCTGTGGTTGGCGCTTTCAGCTGCACTTCTCTGGTCGGCACTGTGCAGTGATTTGCCTCACAAACGTCAGGGTTTCTCTCGGTAGCCCCCATGACGCTGGCCTAGCATACACCCCCACAGCGGGCGGTACAGGATAATCTTTGCTCAGACATGCCGCGCAGCTTCATGCCCGTCCACAGCATACCAGCCCGTTATATTTGGCTCGCCTTGAAGGGCGCCATGGTAAGCTTGGCGTCAGTGCGTTGCACAGGCGACTGGCTGCCACAATAATGCTATGGAATATATTTACTGCTGGTAGTAATTGCCGTAGCACTGCGCTTTGCGTACACCATCGCCTCCTCAAAGGTTTGTCTTTTATCAGCTTGTTTATATTAACAGTACAGACACAAAGCAACAAATATAAAATTCAAGAAAGATATCTACAAATTGCTGTTTCTTTCAGCTACCAGCCGCCAAAGTGGCCATGTCTTTCCAAATACAAGTTCGACGACCCTTTGTCTCCGTTTGGCCCAACGTTGAGGCTGTTGGCGACCATGCCGCCTGGGCTTTGGCTGCTGTAGGTAAACCCTGACGGGCCCCATGCAACATTGATGTTGTTCAGCGGCGAGTATGCGCTCAGTGCGTTGTGTTGCCAAAACATAGCTGGCTGCCCCATCCCGCCTGGGCCGAATGGATAGCCCACAGCACCTACTGCCAAAAAGGCCATTGTCTGGGCGAAAAACAGCGATAGTACGGATGCGCTCAGTTTCATTGTTTTGGACGTGCAAAAAATAATCGAATAGGTATACAAAGCCACGAGCTAAGTCTCTTGTTTCTGGTTGTGGTGGTGGTTGTCGAGCGGACTCACAGATGCTATCGTTATTGATTGATGAAATCTTGTTGAAATCCTGGCTTCCATGAACCATAGGCTCCTATTTATAGAATCGCTTTTGATACTCCATCGATACACTGGTGCACTGCGCCATTGCCTCTCGGCTCTTTTATGCATCACCTTTGTTGTGGGAGAGAGAGAGTGTGTGTGTGTGGCCAGCATTTGCAAGTAATGCTTGCTTATGTGCGAAGTTTACTTTCTAAAGCGATGTACATTGTGGTGAAAATTTATTGACATGAGAAAGTTCTATCACTGAGTGATACTAAAAAATACTTAAAACTTGGTGCCCTTCTTCTTTTTCTTCTTCTTTTGGCCGCCTGATGCTGGCGTGGGTGCTGTTGCTACCAGCGCCTCTTGCTCAGGGCTTGGCGACTTTGCCATTGTCTCGCTATAAAGCAATGATTACAATGTTAGTACAGGCATGTTGGCAGACGTGGCTTTTAGATGCTGTAGTAAATATAATTCACGCTGTCTGGCATTCTCATCAACACTGTGGTGGTTTGTTTACTGACCTTTTTGTGGGGATGTTTGCACTTCCGGTGCCTCCCACGCCTCCGCCGCTAACTGCTCCTCCTTGGGTGCCACCGCGTCTCTGTTGTCTACGGCGCGCCCTATTTGATCCTCTATAGTATGATCGCTGCTTTAGGGGAATCCACCTCTCAGGATCTGGTTTCTTATCCGAATCAGGTTTGCCTTCCAGTCTTCGAGCCGCCGCACGGGCTCTCTTTGCCTGGCGCTGGGCAAGTGTCAGCTTCCCAGTTCTAGCGCTGCCACCAGTGTGTGTACTAGGCGCTGATTTAACTTCTGGCAAAAGGCCAACGATTCTCTTATTCCCAAGTCCCATTAACGACTGCGCATTCTCTCCACCTACTGGTTTGCTTACATCAAGTGTAGTTTGTGTGCCTTCCGAATCCCACCCTATACCAGATTCACCGGAAAGCACTAACCCTGCGAACGATCTCTCTACTTCATTGCTCGAATCAAGCGTTTCTTTATACATGGTGGCTGCCTGCCCAGTCCTTCCAAGTCGCAAAAGCGCATTTGCAACAGAAGTTTTGCTACTACCATTACGAGAAACATGGTCTATTATATCATCCACAATTTTAGCCACATCTCTACGGCCATTCTCGGACTTGCTGGAGGGAAGCTGTGCAAGTAAAGATCCCAGGCCAACGATGGTTTCTTGAGAGGTTTCAAGGTTTGCTGCAAGCGCATCCTTTAGGGCCTGACCTATAAGCTCTTCAGCCTTTTCTGTTTTCCCACACATTGCGTGGAGCTGAACTCCAAGAATGACAGCCTCGATTTGAGGCGATTTGAAGTGCTTTGGATAATCAGTTGTGTATATGTCCAAAGCAATATCGGGGCGGCCAGTAGAAACAGCAAGTGCAATTCTTAGGAGCAATGTCTGCTCGTTAGTATCAGCATGCCTTTTGTAAAGCTTTCTATAGGCCTGCAGGGCTCTGTATGCACTGTTGTATTGCCGTAGACGATAGTGGGCTAGCGAAAGGTTGAATGCTGCTTGTGCCTTTTGAGAATACAGAATGTTGCGTTTAAGCTTTCTTGATCTCAATAAAGACAAATGTGCTGTCCCTTCACTGGATATGCTGCCATTTCCGTCACATAGGGCCAAATTGGCCTGTGCAATGGCCAGTATTCTTGAGTCGGCACTTTTAAAACATAGCTTATGTGTTAGTGATTGCAACGAAAGATCACAGTGATTTGCTGGTATATTTGGTGTAAATATTAACTGAGCAAATATTTACCTTGATTTGGCAACCTTTTCAAAACCGATTCTGGCCTGTTCGATTTTACCAAGGCTGAATTCAACACATGCCAGCTGTAATTCAATGATGGGCAGCTCCTGCTCTATCTCTTCGTCTGTCCATTCCATATCCTTGAGGTTTGTACGACAGACATCTAGGGATCTTACCAAAAGCTCCTTTGCTATCTCAAAATTTCCGTTGGCCATATGTATTGTTGCTGCGTTAAAAAGTGTCTCGTAGGGAGTCTTCGGGTCGTCCACTTGGATCTACATCCACAAAGATTATAGAAAACTTAACCAGGGGTTTCAACATATGACAGAATAAGTTACTAACAGCAGGTAGGAACAAACCTTTTCAAGACTGAGATCGCTAGATTCGAATGATAAGGCAGCCTTACATGCCATGTAGTTGGTCTTCAACTCATTCACATCATCAGAAACAACTGGCCTAGCCAACATCTGGTCGTAAACTGACTGTGCCTGCTCAAACTGTTCGCGCCTGAAGGCAATCTGGGCTTCAAGGTGCTGTACTCTATCAGATTTCTTCATCTGCTTGAGTATACTTTCTGCCTCCTCGTATTTATTCAGACGGAATAGACAATAGGCATTTTCAAAACGAAAGCCTCCTGGGATATTGATATTCTTGCTTCTAATATAATCAATTACTTTCACAGCCCCATCATATCTTTCCAGGCGAATGAGAGCAACAACCTTTATTTTGAGTGCATCCTGGTCATTTGGTTCCAGCTCGAGGACTTGTGATTATACATTGAATAAAACAATTTTTGTTAATATAATACACTGCTTGTGATATAAATATGGCATACTACTTCAGATTGTGGACCCACCTTTATCGCATTGGCGAGGAATCTCGTCATATTCTTGGTTTTGAATTGCCTCGTTTATGTCCCTATAAATGCTTGCGACCTTTGCGTCTGTCATTATAGTGATTCTGTGCTTGTTGAGCAAATTTTATGTAAAGAGAGAGAGGGAGGGATACATAATGGTGTTGAAGTAAGATGCCTAGCTGTCCTTTTAGGATGGTTTGTGTCATTCATCAGATTTAATCAGTTACTAGTTGTTGATTAACCCTATAGGGATGGCAGAGTTAGCAGCCAAGTCAGTTTTCGAAAAACTGGGCTGTAGAAAATATACACACTGTCTTTGTGAATAATATTGCTTTCATAGGAATTAGATGTGCTTATTCGGACCTGAATGTTTATTGTTTTGCATACAAAAGTGGTACATAGAAAGACCTGACTAGAAAAATAAGTAAAAAAAAGTAAAAAGATGCGATCCTGCTGGGACTTGAACCCAGAATCTCCAGATTAGGAGTCTGGTGCCGTAACCATTTGGCCACAGGACCGATCTGATGAGTAATACTAATATTCTTAAATAAGTTAGCACTGTTAATTATATGATATAATTTTTACATCCTGAAGCATTTTATAATCCATCATTCTATTTTCCACATTTTTCTCCACTTAATCGTCATCTTACTACTATTCTATTCAATATATATATCTCTCTAAAAAGTTAAACAGTTATTGCTTAATGTATCCCCAGGTGAGAACGTTGAATTGTTCAGGTTCCCAATACTCTATCCATATTATAAATATGCTTGTTTTTTCGGATTAGGGTTATATTTTTTCTTCATGTATCTGAATATGTATTTCTATGAACTAAATGCCAAGACATCTACGTTTGTACCAATATCTGACACGCTTATATAGATACACCTAAACGACAAAGAACCTAACGCGATCTTTTTCTCTTTTGAACATCTCTAAACCTACTCCACGACTCATTGAATAATAATTTACTTAAAGGTACTTTGCTGATGACTACCTTTTTTGAATGTGGGAATTTTGAATAGGATTGAAGTAATACCTCTATAACACAAGTCTTTATTCAGTGAGTTTTTACTGATAGAATACATTTAGTGGTTGCGGTGCTGTGTTATGATGCCTTTGCTTTCACTTCAAAGAGCACCCAACTTTTCTGATTGATGATGATCCACCAAAAGAATACCATTTTTTGGTTTATCTAACTACACAAAGCGTTTTTCCTATAAAAACACTCTAAATTGTTCTTTACCTTACCTCTTCACTTTTGCATTTTATTCTAGTTCATTCATTTAAGCTTTCGCATGTCCTCTGAAGGTATATTCAATGTTATATTAGCTAAAGGTATAAATAATGAGACAATGTTGCATTCGACAATGTCTCTAACAATTGTTGTTTATAATGAGTAGCATTAAATGCAGCACTGGCTGCACTAAAAACGGTTTATTCACTCGAAAATATTAGCCAAAGTGCGCGTCAGCAGGCACAGGATGTATGCGAATTGTTCAAGAATAGTCCCCAGGCACATGTTCATGGCGTAAATTTGGTCAACAAAGAGTCTGGATATTCGGATATCGAGCGACACTTTGGTCTATTAATACTTGAACATACTATCAAATACAAGTGGGGATGGAAAGGCCAGAAGGCACCACTATCTCCAAACCATTTAGACGAAGGGGCGCAGACTCAGCTGCGGGATCGTATAATGGATTTGATGATGAGCGGCCTACGCGAAGATGGAACCGAGGCGAAGTTTGTTGAAGAGAAAATGGTCAGCCTTGTGGTCTCTGTCATAGTACGCATGTGGCCTGGCCCTGTATGGGAGAATCTCAACACACAGCTGGTCGCGCTATACAATACATCGTCAGCAAAGCGTCGCCTAGCATTACTTATTTTCAGACGCTTGGGAGAGAGCGTTCTTTTTGCAGAAAATGACCCAATAGTCGAGTTGCGGCACCTGGATCTTACTACGGGCTTGACATCGCTTCTATTCCCAGCAGAGGAGATAAAAGAAAAGTACCCACAAGGCATCCGTATCAATAACAAAAGGCGCCAGGCTATAAAGGTTTGGATAGAGCCCAACAACGAGATGGGCTGGTTTTTAAGGTGGGCAGAGCTACTCAAACAGTTGGGACCTTCTAATGCCAATGAAAAAGATATGCTCGAGCTTCTGAATTGCATATCTGTGTATATTGGCTGGCTGCCGGTTTCCACAGTAAAGAAATCCAAGATCATCTACATATTGTCGGATTTGCTTGGGTCCAATGACAACGACATTCGTATAAAGGCAATTACCTGTATAGGTATAGTCTCGACACGTCCTCTCCCTAAAAAAGAAGATCAGCTCACCGTAGTTGAAGAAATAATAGATTCAGAGTCAGGCTATTGCTTGAGAGCACTTCAAAACAGTTATATGGCAACATTGAAAGATACTGAAGACCCAGATGAGGCCATATTTGCTCGTCATATTGCAAACGTGTTATCAGGCCTCTCACGAGTCCAGCTGGCAAATAAAAAAAGTCAAGCGTGGATCCCGAAGAACTTTGCCGCTTGGACGGAACTTATGCTAAATATGCAGCAGGACAGCAGAGCCGGCGTCGTATATTGTAGCACTGCCTTCTGGATATCTGTATATGAGAGTCAGGAACTTTCATCAAACCCAGTCATAGCTTCTAGCATGGGATCAGTAATGACCATATTTACACAAAAGTGGCTGTGGGCACTGGATACCATAGATCAGATTAATGCCAAAGGCGAGGATGCCGACTATCCTGAAGACGAAACATCGTGGGACAATGTAGCCGAATACAAGCTATTTGTCGAATCAAAAGTGCGGGACAAGTGCCAGCAAGTGGTGTCCTTGCTTGCCCGTAAGGATGTTGGTGGAATGTGCCAATGGCTGTGCGATAGGTTGGTAGAAACGGTGAATTCGAGCAAAGATGGGAACGAGAGCCTTGATTTGGGATTGAAGTCCAACCCGCATTACCAGAACCAGCTTGAGATCATCTTGCAACTGATCAAAAGCATGGCACTAATGATAAAGAGCAAAGAAAGAGAAGCTTTAGTCCTTGGCGACGACAGTGTACTAGAAGCAACAGCTATGGCGAAAAAGCATGCTGTAAATGTATTGACCCTTGTGGTACAGCTGCATACCCCAAGCGTCACCAAGCTAATAAATATACAATGCCAAATAATGGTCAGCTACAGCTTCATCCTGAAAGATCCCGAAAACGAAGCGCTTCTTAATGGTATCTTGGAGAAGCTTACCTCATACATTCGTATATCCCCAGGGCCCAATTCCCAAGAAAATAATGGGAAATTATCCACAGAGTATGATACTATAATCACTAAAGCATTGTCATCTTTAGTATCTCTTGCAGAAAGCATTCCTGAAGAGCTCATGAAATACTATGATCAGTGGTTGCGGTTGACAGATTTTGTTATGTCTCAGTCACCCAATTTTACAAGTCTCCACCACAATATGATGATAGATTTCCATTTGGCCTTAGCAGGTAATGCGCGTTTATCAGTAGTGGATAGGAAGAAGCTGGCTCTGCCTGCAATACAAAAGGTCATGGAGACATGGCAGGGAACAGTATCCTCTATGGCATCATTGGGTGACCTGATGAGCATATTGGGGCTTCCCGAGTTGGATGGGATGTTTGGCGGTGCTGGAGTAGAGGCCTTGAAGTCCTTTTTCGCAGTGAAAGACAAGCAGATATCTCAGATTATTAATGCACTTACGATGCTCAATGTCGCACTATCACGTACTACTAAGGATGCTACCAGCACGAATTCCATGTCCATTTCTGAAATGTCCCTTGTCTGGGGAGATGTGATCTCTGAGCTCACTTCGTCTTTACTCCATCTAATCCGTCTTATGCATGCCTTATGGAATAGCTCCAGCTGGGGCAACCAGTCGTGGAGGTCTAAAGAGGCACAGTCTGAGTTTCGTTTGGGCGTTCTTGGGTTGCCCTTCACAGAGCGTGCCCAAATAATCAGGGACTTGGTTAAAAACAATGGTCCAAGCGATAATTCCTCAGATAATGCTGGCAGAAACAGATACACCAAGCTAATTAACAAGCTAAGATCCCAGGATTTCAGCCAGCTGTCGGTTAAGCCAGAAGAACAAGGAGAGTTTATACAGAGATCTACAGAAGCAGTCTCCAGTCATATATCCAACTGCATCATGAACATTCTGATGATGTCTTACAAGTGCTTTAGCAAGTTAACACTAATGCCGCAGATATTCCACATCCCAGATTTTACCAATGTCTTTGTACAAAGCATGTTTTCGGATATTCAGACACTTCCACTTAGGCATATGGGAATCCTCCTTTCTGAATTGGTTGTGCCAGTGCTAAACAATGTCCCTTCAGATGCTACTGAAAGGCTAGTTTCGTCATTCTTGCCAACACTATTCAATTTTATGCAGCAGCGGATTAAGGTAGAATGGGACTCTTTACAGGCGCGTGGATTAGCACTAACAAGCCGTGCCGAGTTAGAAGAGCTAGCAATGTCTGATCAAAGTTCACAAGGAGAAACCGACGTCTCGGATGATATAATTCAAGAAAAGGTGGTGCGCACATGGACTGGACAGTGGGCTCGTATTGTATTAATGCTTTTGGATACACTTAAAGCCATATTCCCTGATCCCGAAGAAATCAAGAAGGACTTGGAAAAGCTTTCATCATCTGTTGGAATTCCACCATCAGAAACTAAGGAGTATACAAAGTCTGGATTGAACTTATCGCTTGGAAAATTGCTCTTATCATCGGCTGAATTAATGGGTGGTCTTCTTTCTAGCGCATCACAGCTAGTCACAACCAAGGATTTGTGGTCTGTCACTCGCTCTCTTCTTAGACTTGGAGCTGTAGTTCCACAACTTGCCATCGCATCTTTGGTTTTTGAATACCAGTCTACCACTGGCGGAGCAAAGTCAATAAATTTACCATACCTCAGGGTCCTCGACCAGAAGCTAGCATTTCCCATTTTGGGCTGGATTTCTGGAGACTTGGCTACCTCATTGATGGCTCTACTTCAGGACGTTTACTTTGAGGATGTATATGGAAGAGCGCTTACGCTTCTTGGAGACATTGCATACTATTCAACCACATTCGATTCCCTAGGTTGGAAAACTTTATCTGCCGACCAGACCAGCTCAGCATCTCATCTTCGTCTAGGACTTGCCCAAACTATAACTCGTGTGACCGGGCGAGATTCCTCTTCGATAGAGCAAGTGGTCAGAAGGTGGTCACTCGACACTGAATCCAAGTCCCGGAAGGCCATCGGGCGCCTTGAATTCCAGGACTTGATGGGGGTCGACAAAGGACAGATGTTTAAAACCGACAAAAAGATCCTGACAGGCAAAGGAGCAGCGTCTGGTGCAACATTGTCTATAAACTACAGCCATATTCATGACGACCAAAACGCAAATAAGTTTACAAAGAAGGGAGATATTTCAGACTTGTTTTCTAAGGATTCTGGCTTCAATCTTGATACCGCCATTCCCTGAAAAAAA